TCAGACAGTTAACCGACTGAGCCACCCAGGTGGGTCCCTCATAATATTTTTAAGGTTCATCCATGTTGTAGCATGTATTATTACTTCACTTCTTTTTATTGTTAAAGAATATTCCATTGTATGGATATATTCTATTTTATTTATTCACTCATCTGGTGGTGGAAATTTGGATTGTTTCCACTTTTTGGCCATTATGAATAATGTTGCTATGAACATTCATGTACAAATTTTTGTGTGGACAAATGTTTTTGTTTCTCTTGGGCATATATCTAGGAGTGGAATTGCTGGGTCATATGGTAACTCTGTTAAGTTTTCAGGAATTATCAAATACTGTTTTCCAACACTGTTGTACCATTTTACATTTCCCTTACATATGTGAAAGTTCCAATTTTCCCATGTTCTCACCAACATTTGTTGTTTTCCATGTTTTTTATTATTCTCAGCCTAGTTGTGAAGTGCTATCTCATTGTGTTTTTGATTTGCATTTCCCATGGCTAATGATGTTGTCATGTGTTTATTGACTCTTTGTGTATCTTCTTTGGAGAAATGTCTATTCAGTTACTTTGCCCATTTTTAGTAGGGTTATCTCTTTATTATTGTGTTGTAATACCTCTTTATATATTCCAGATATAAGTCCTTTATCAGATACATGATTTGTAAAAAAAAAAAAAAAATTCACCCATTCTGTGGGTTGTCTTTCCACTTTTTTGACCTCGTCCTTTGAAGCACAAAAGTTTTTAATTTTTTTTTAAAGATTTATTTTAGACAGAGAGAGAGAACAAACAGGAGGGGCAGAGAGAAAGGGAAAGAGAATCTAAAGCAGACTCCACGTTGAGTGCAGAACCTGACATGGGGCTCAATCTCACAACACTGAGATCACAACCTGAGCCGAAGCCAAGAGTCAGATGCTTAACCAATTGTGCCAACCAGGTGCCCCATAAAAGTTTTTAATTTTGACAAAGTCCAGTTTACCTATTTTTTCTTTTGTTGCTTGTGTTTTTGGTGTCCTAAGAAACCATTGCCTAGTTCAAGGTCATGAAGATTTGCACCTCTATTTTTTATTTTTAACAATTTTACAGTTTTAACTCTTAAATTTAGGACTTTGATTCACGGTAATTTTGGACTATGGTGTGAAGTACAAGAACAAATTCATTACTTTACATGTAAATATTCAGTTGTCCCAGCACCAGTTGTTGAAAAGAGTATTCTTTTCCCACATAATTATCTTGGTACCTTTGTCAAAAATCAATTTACCATAAATGTGAGGGGCTTATTTCTGAACTCTCAATTCTATTCCACTGAGCTCTATATCCTTTTGCCAGTACCACACTGTTCATCCTTTTAAAAACTTTTAAACTTAAAAAACTTTTTAAAAAACTAAATTCATGTTATTACTAAGTTCTTTCAACAGAAATGTTTTCTGTTTCTTAGGTAATTTTCTTTTAAATTAAAAATATTTTTTTT